TGACATTATCTAAGTCTTGGTTCTGGAAAAATATTATAAGTGAAATTCTACCTAATCCTAACACGTTTTAACAAGACATTTTTGAACAAAATAAAACAAGAAACTAAGGAAGAATGAAGCTGTATGGCAACACAGACTGAACAATAATGAGCACAGGAAACCGAACAGAATATGGCAAAACCTAAATGAATATAAATAACAAAACACAAACAATCAAGGATCATAACCACCAACCACTGAGTTTGCATTTTAAAATATACTTGCTTGAATGACTTTGAAAAGGTTACATTTAAAAAATTGATTTAAAACATTTGACTTATGTACATAAGAATGAACATATCTTTATTATCTTACACTTTCAACTTAGCAACTCAGGTCAACTGGAATATTTTAGTGTAGTTTTTCTTCTGCTTGGTAAGATTTTGTGTTTTTTCAGTTTAGTTAGCAACTTCAGGTAAGTTGAGGTAATTTTATTTACATAGCACAGTTTCAACAACAAAGCAGCTTAAAGTGCTTTATGTGAATTAGAAGGAAATACAAACACAGCAAAACCAGATGAACGAGAAACAAGCACAGCAAAAGAAAAACTACACTTCAAAATGTTCCAGTTGATCTGGGTTGCCTATTAATAAATAAAAAAACAATGAGAGTTCATTTACAGGCTTTCGATCTGTTCACACATTCAACTCAAAGAGTCAAAACCCTTTAAAACGTATCCATTGCTGCTGACTAGATTGAGAAGATATCAGGGTTTAGAACCGGGAGAATCGTCTTAGAGAGGATCTCACGCCATTCGCTTCTGCACAGGTTGCAATTCTCAGACCTGATTTCCAAGACAAAAATCGAACGGCAAGCTCCACATCCAAAGCTTCAATCGGTTCTGCTGAGCTTTCGCATACCTGCCGGCGGTGATAAGGCCAAAGCCTCGACGCAGCACATCAGCTCGGTACACGTGATAAATCTGCTCCGGATGTGATGCTGTGCGGGGATATTTGTCTGTCTATGGTGAAGCAAGAACACAGACTTGAGTATTAATGTCAGCTGATGCAAACTTTAAAAAATGAGGGATTATTTTTATTCAGAAGTTTGATGCAGAGTGTTTTGTGAGCAGGCATGTATAAGCTCTATTTTCCTCTGACAGTGCTTCTTTCTTCCTGCCTGCCTGACTAATCATATTCTATTTTAAGCGATGATATATATATATTTTTTTCTCTATTTTTGCAATATTTCTTCTCCCTGAGCTGAGATCATGGATCCTGCTGATTGGGAGTCTGTCATGCATTTGCTGCTTCGGTCTTAAAGATGCAAAGACGTGCGTGATGACAGTAGCACATTTAATGAGCCAGCATTACATACCATAGGGTGATGCTTGTAAAGGTGCATTGCCAAAGAGTAAAGGCAATAATGTGGGTGATTTGGCATCAGCTAAAAAACAAACAATGGTGGATCATTTTTCAGTCACAATTTCTGCATTCATTAAGAAATGCCTCTGTTTCAAACAAGATATATAAGATATATATAATTAGAAATATACATAATTCATTTACAAACAAAATATTTCCATTTACACAGATTTTATTTTAATAGTCCACTTCCGGTTAGTGGCAAATGAAAAATGTGTATTAGCTAAATATTCATAAATAAATAAATGTTTAGCTTCCATCTAATTACTTTGGTTGCTAACTACATTGAATTTAATCTTAACATTTAGTTGAAGCTCAATGTTTGGAGCTAAATATTCAGTTTTAGAACTAAATGTGTACTTTTATTGTGTTTGGAGCTGAATATTCAATTTGAAAACTAAATATTAAGTTTCCTAATAACCATAAATAACACAATTAATTACCAAGAAAAATAATTTAGTTTCAAAACTAAATATTTGCATCTATTGTATGTATTTAGATGCATATTTAGTTTGGAGCTAGATGTTTAGAGCTAATTATTTAGTTTCAAAACTAATTTAGTGTCAGTACTCAATATTTACACTTATTGTGTATATTTTGCTGCATATTTAGTTTGTAACAACCTAATTTTGTTTGGAGCTAAATATTGAGTTTGTAAACTTAATATTTGATTTAGAGCTACATAATTGTAGGCTATACTTTGTTTTAAAACTTAATATTTATAAATATTTAGTTTTAAAACTAAATATATAGCCTGTTAGTGAATATAAAACTTTAAACTGACGTTATAAATTAATAACATGGTGAAAATCTGACACCAAAAAATGAAACCCATTTTTTTTTATTTTGTGAAAAGCTAAATAACCCGAATTACTTTTGGTTGTCTAACTTTACAAACAACACCTCATATGTTTTGAGATCTTTTCTGGTGTTTGCATGATTGGAAAGAGCCACAACTGATCAGATTTGCTGTTTGAGAAAATTAATGATGATTTTAGATTTTCTCCTCACTTAGTTTATTCAAAACAAAGGTCTCAGCTGTACAGGAAGTGCACAGCCTTTCTGGAGCAGCGGACCGTCTTAAGCGCCAAAATCAGCAATTTTACGAAACGTTCATCTGACTTGATGTGCTGCCAGTTACTCACATGTCTGTCTGCCTGGGCGCAGAGATGAAAATCACATTTGATCCACTTCGATAACAGAACTGGGTCATGATTTGAGAAATGTTCCTCGCACCCCAGCAGGGAGAAACACAAGCTCACAGAGAGACACGGTGCTCTCTTTGCCAGCTCATAGTCTACGGCCTGCCAGCAGCTCCTCTGTTGCAAGTTATTTTTCTTGGGAGTTAATCGTGTTATTTATGGTTATTAGGAAAAAGCGGTCTTGTCACTACCAATTCCAGTGGAAGCGCTCAGAAAATTTGAGGAAAAAGGTCATGGGAGGAGAAAATTTCTGTTCAAGTACATAGTTTGTGAAATTACTTTGTGGATATGAGGTTAAACTGCACAATGTGAATGAATATTTTATAAAGTGCTCAGAAACACTAAAAAAAGGAAAAAACAATTTTATGTTTTGTCATTTTTAAAGAGGTTGATGAAGTGGAAGAAATAATGAGCACAAACATGTGACTGAAAACATCTGTAATGGATATTATTGCTAACATTGTCTTTTGAGATATTTATGAACATCAGTTTTCAAACGTTTCCACACATAATGAAGTGGATTTAGGTCTGGACTTTGACTGGGCCATTCTAACACATGAATTTACCATCCTAGAGATTCTCTAGCGTCATTTAGAGAAACTCATCCTTGCGCCTATCTTTATTCGCATCAATTATTGCAACAGGTTTGCCAAAAAAAAACAACAAATCAAAACAGCTGCAGCTGATCCAGAACGCTCCTGCTGGAGTTCTGACTAAAACCAGGAAGTTGGAGCACATCACCCCAGTTCTCCACTGGCTTCCTGTAGCTCATAGACTTTAAAATACAGTTAGGTCATAAGTCACTGAACGGCTTTGCATCACAACACATTAAAGATTTGCTGTTATCATAGCAACCTTCCTGCCCTCTCAGGTCTTCTGGTTATTATAATTATTATTTTTCTTTTATTATTATTATAGTTATTATAAAGCCTACACGATTGTAGGCTTAATTTAGTTTTTAAACTAACTATGTAGTTTTGAAACTACAGAGAACTGTTCTAATACACAGAGCAGTTCTGGTTCTGCTCTGCATATCAGAACCAGAACCAAACCTGGAGAAGCAGCATTCAGCTTCTGTGCACCACAAATCTGGAACCAACTTCCAGAAAGCTGCAAAACAGCAGAAACGCTGCGAGTTCCTTTAAACATAGAGAAAAACCAACCTGCTTAAGAGTTGCTTTTGAAACATTTATAAATGAAATAATAATCAATAATCTGCTGTGTAACAGCAAAATGTATTGTTCCAATTGCTGACTGTGTTATTTGTATTTTTGAAATGCCTTGATGTTGAAATGTGCCATACAAACAAAATTTGATTTGATAAATTTGTAAGAAACCAACCAAATTAATTGCTCCTGGTTATAATGTGACTGAAAAACATGCAATTAATTCCCATTTTCTATCCTTGCCAAACCATTATGTTTTAAATAACCAAAGACACAACTTGAATGTTCATTCAACTTTATTAGCATTATTTGAGGGTCACATGTCGACCAATCATGCTGAGAGCTAAGCCTGGTAGGTGTACAGTTAGATTAAACTGGTAATCGTTATCCTGAGCCAATCCTAGTTCTAGTCAGTGAGGATTATTGAAATAGAACAGTGAACACATAAGACAGCTGATTTCAAAGTCCAATTTTAAATCTTCGCAAAACTACTGAGAGACAAAGACAAGTTGAGCTGCTTTGGAAAAAAGCTGTGAACAAAACAAAGTGAGTGACTAGAACTGTTCTGCATAGTATCTTGAAATATTTGTGCTGACATGGCGAGATGGTAATTGAGCAAAGAGATGCATTACATGCTGCAGATACATGACACAAACAGGAATCTCCTGCAGGTAAGAATAAAAGAATAAGGAAATTAATGCCCTCAGTTGGCTCCTGCAAAACTGCAAAACTTTGTGTTAGCATGCTTTCAGGAGCTACAGTGTTTTAAGAAGGCTATATACAAACACCCTTAGTTTAATCAAGCTTTATAATTTATGACAGATCAATAAATTAAATAAATAAGGTGGTTTGAAAATTAGTTCTCTCTGGAAAAGACTGAGCATTTAGTAATTTTTCTCCATCAAGAAACCTGAATATGGCTTTTAATCAGTCGCTCTGGTTTGTTTGCTCTTCCCTATTGCATGACATGACAATAATACAAGACATTACACATAGGCAGCGTTCACACAGCAGCCTGAAGTGACCCATTTCCAATGTTTTTGCCATAATGTGACCTATGTCTGATCTTTTCACGACAGTCAGATTCTCTTTGAATGCAACCCAGACCACTTGGATATCCGATATGCATCTGATTCAAATGCAACTTTAACGTCCAGGTTGAATTCATCCGATTTGAACGTCTCCAATATTCGACAAATGTCACTAATTTGTGTCCCCATATGCTCAAGCGGGAAGACAAACAACAAAGCCGGACGACAATAAGGATTAAGTTAATATTCTGGCTCCGGATGGACAACAACTTCAAAACCGTAAGCTATGCTCCACCGTTAGCATCCATGCTCACTTCCGCAAACACCGAGTACTATTTCTTCTTTTGGCAAAACAGTTGAGCTTTATCTATTGCACATGCAGGACACTTCCAGGTAGTTTGCAGTTCACGTAGGAGATCACATATAAGTCGCTTATATTTTGAAGTGTGAACGATCAGGGCAAAAAAGTCCAATTTGACAAAAACAAAATAAAAAAAGATTTGAGTCACTTTGAGCTACAGTGTGAACACAGCCTTAGATAAATTATGTTTCTGATGCAACAACAGAAAATCCTAGTGGTCCATTGAGCTACATAGAAGAAAGTGAAAATACAAACCCTCTGGAATATCGTGCGGATGGGAGAACCTTTGAAGGTCAAACGAGGAGCTCCCCAAGGTGCATGCAAGTATTTGTCACATTGAAACTGTGAAGAGTGCAAATGTGCCGTTCTGTAATCACCGAAAAGCGTTTTGGGATGCAGGGAAAACCCTCGAGTGCGTGTGAGAGAAACGGTGTGTTGTGACTTTGATTGGACCAAGATAGAGCAGAAAAGACGTTAGTGCTCAGTAATACCTGGATCATTTTATGTTTGAGAATCTGAGTTATGTACCATTAAACCTGGACATTGTGACCAAAATTATTAATCTTCACTCTACTCAACCAAAAACGGGTTTGCACAAGCAACAGTAATACACATCCAGTGTATCATCCAAAGTTTTCTTTTCACAAATAACTTCAACATGCCTTAACATCATGACAAAAAGGTCCTTTACCCTTTTTTGTGAGAGAGTGGCCAGTGTAGACGGCTAATGAGGTAGCCAGAGTACCTTCACACTCATTCTCTTGAAAATAATTGCTACATACCTCTGGTGAAAATATAAGAAGCTTCACAAAGGGAAGCTGTGCTACAAGAAAAGTAGCTCTGAAGAAGCTCCTGGTTCTGCCAAAAACCATCTTCAGCCAAAAAGCCAAAATTGCAGGCTGTTTTCCATTCAAGATGCAGCAGTGATAGTTGGAGGGGTGGAGGAGGGTGGATGGTTGTCAGTGAGGTGCTGGCTAAACACCCATTAATATTCCTCCATCCCTTGGAGCTCCTCTGCTACACCAAGGAGAAATCTGATATTTTGCCATCATATTTCCAGCAGAAACGTCACAGGGACAAGGCCTCTCTTCTTCCCGCTCGTCAGCCGAAGGAAGCCGTCAATCTCCTCGTTTTTCCCGATGCAGATCTGTAGAGGGAGAGGGAGGACAAACAGGAGGGCACAGAACAGGAGCAGGGGTGAGAAAACACTTTCAGGACCTGGGTGGAAACTGACCAGATGCTGCAAGCTACATACTGCTGTCTTCTATCATTTTAACACTTTCTGCATTCATTTGCATCCACTTAGAAATAAAAATGCCTAGAGCGAGTGTGTGCATGCAGAAGATAGGAAAAATGTGTGCATCTCCTGGCTGCGCACCTGATTCTCTTTCACAGTCATCTGGCCTTTGTCTCGATTGCCATGGAAAGCAGCGGTGACCTTCCACACCCGCTCACCCGGTCGGACCCGCTGGACAAAGTTGGCTGGGAAAAATCCCACCTTGTCTCTACTTTTCCCCTGGTAAACACAACATCCACAAACATTCGGCCTGCTGGTCTGCACAGATACGTTTCTCTTTGTTCTGAGAGATTATTCAGAAGTTACTGGAAAAGAACGATACTAAATATGAAACATAATTTTCTGAATAAATCTATTCCTAATGGGGCCGTTAAAACCCAAATTTACCCACACATACACAGTAAACAAGCCAAAATTAATCTAGACATGATGTGTAATAAAGTGGAGAGAAAATGAATTAATAAAGTTTCAAAAGAAAACGGAGGGACAGGAACATTGCTAAACTTTGTCATTACATAAAAAACAGTCAATCAGCTGATTTAGTCCTACTTAATGACCAATAAATGGTTTTTCATTTCCAAATTATTGTACAGCAATCATGTCATAATTGGTAGAAATGGAGAGCTCCATCAAGTCTTCTTCAACTTTATAGATGCACAAAAATCTATTTTTAAATGTCTGAATGCTGCACCTTACGGCCAAAACTGAGTGGAACACACAAAAAAAAAAAAAAATCAATTCATTATAAATGAACTACACCCAGTTCATCCTCTCAAGATTTCTGACAGTGGGGCCAAAAGATAATCGCAAGAGCAAAAAAAAAAACTTTAGGAAAGCTTAAAAAAAACAACAAAAACAAAAAGAATAAGTAAATGCCATCTGGGAAAACTTGCTGCGCTGTATTCTACTGCTGAAGAGAAAAGCCGATAAAATTTGGACAGGTATTAAAATGCCAGTGAATACACAGCAGTCTAATCAGATGAGACCAAAACATAGTGCCTGCTAGAAAAACAGTTGTGCACATTATCCCAAAAACAGCAGTGAGAACATTATGGGGTGGTTGTTGTTTGTAAGCATGAGGTATTGGCTTACTTATATAATAAAAGGATGAGGAATTACTCAATCATGAATCGAAAATTTGAAGTCAAGGTAGATTTGTTTTCCCCCAAAAGACAATGTTCTCAAACACATCAAACAAAATTTTTGATTAGTTTCAGACCTACTTTAATCCAATTAAAAATCATATTTCATATTTGTGAGAATGGGTCAGAAATACAGATTCATCGAAGTCGTGATTCCCAAAATACACCTGTGCTAAATATTTAAAACAATTCACATTATTTATAGTAATGTATGAATTACTTGCATTGCAAAAAAATATTTTGTGTGAATTTTATATCAGACATTTCATGATTTATTCCCCCTCTAAAACAAATGCATTTCTAAATGTACAGAATAATCTGTGCGCTTATGATTTGACAAGTGCAAGAAGTCTCCAAACCTTGATGGCTTTGGGTTTAACAGCCGTAAGAATCCTAATCCTTTCAGTTCTGATTATGTGACTCGCTGCATAAACATGCACAACTCATCTGTATCCTGAATTGAAAGAGATTTTTTTGGTTCCGCCTCTAAATTTGTGCTGCCATCATTAGACAAGAGCACATCTCTCTTTGTAGTTTCTAGTTATTCTCACTTTAAAAGCAGGTTTTTTTTTTATTATTTGTAAAACGAGTTACTGATTTGCATTTAAATCCATGTGCTTCGTCATTTTTGATTTTAATATAATAGCTCACATTATGAACATAAAATGTGCCAGTTTGTCTAGAAAGTGATTTAAACCACACACATTTTAAAACTTTATTTCGAGGCTACACTTCACTCTCATTGTCTCTAAACAAATTTGCCCTCAGCTTCCCAAGGCAGGGTGATGCATTAAACATGGGTTACCGGACCACCCATTCAATGGCAATCTGGATATTTATAGTGGTAAAGCTCTTAGCAGAAAGGGCAAAAAGTAGAGCCTTTGAAATATTCAGGGGATAAAAATTACTACAATGGAGTGCCGCCCACCTTCCACCAGTCTTCGTTTGAGTCGTCTGTGACTTGAATTCGGTCGCCAGGCCTGCAGACACAGACACAAACATAATATATAATATGAATTATGTGCTATGTAGATGCAGCCATACAGGTACCTAAAAAACTAAGTAATAATTCGTTTTCTAACCCTCTGAGGCCTAAATTTCAAATTTCCGCCTGGATATTTCTGCTTATTTTAATTGTACAAAGTTCTTTTAACGTCCTGTGTGTAAATATATTTGTCCATCTATCCATAACAACTGGAACTTTCAATATCGTCTATAAAGCTTTCTTCCATTCCACGTATGTTACATTGGCAGATTATTATTACAAGACATTTCTCCCATGTTCTAAGTTAATTTATCTGCCTATGGAACTAGTACTTCATCATATTAAGGAATTATTTACTTAGAACAAGTACGCGAAAAGTTACTTGTAAGTTAGTTTGTCTTATTTCAAGTGTGCTAAGATATCTGCACTTGAAGCTAATCCATAAATACTTGGTAAGATTTTGAGTTTTTGCAGTGTTTAGATTAGTTGCAGGTGTTGTACCCCTCTCAGCAGCTATACGAAAACTATTTTCTGACATGCACTCAGTGCAGGTGTTTGTCCTTCCCTGCCTCCCAGCACGTTTCTCCCTCCTAATCTGAGCCCCCTGCGATCGTCCTGCTGAGCAGGCAGATGGTGTATGAATGTCCTTTCTCACCTGGCCACTCTAATTCATGCAAAATCACGCATACAGTACACAAAGAAATCTTACTAACTGTAGTTCCAGGTCATTCTTCTCCTGAGGCAGAAACTTGTAGAGGGCGATGTACGTGTGAATGGAGTGAACTTCGACTCGCTTCGGAGTCTGGTGACAACAAATGTGTGAGTTTAAAAATACTCTAAATATCAAATTTGTCTAAGTGTAGAACCAAAGGAAAGAAATAAAGAGAAAGACAGACTCGCGGAGAATGCTTTTTCTAATAAAAATAAGCTGAAAGAAGAGGAGAATGCTGACTACACACCTTCAGGCTGACCCTGTCTTCTGAATCAGCCTTTTCGCTTTCAGGAGGGGTGAGCACTGGAGAGACAGACACATAAAGACAAAAAGGAAAGGGACAGATAGACAATATGAAAGGTCACATGAAAGAAATAGACAGTGGAAAGAGCAAAAGTGCAAAGTAAAAAGGAGAGAGATAAATAGAGAGAAAGAGCTGATGACACGTTGTGACCGAGCCAGCAAGGCAGAAGTGAAGGTCAGGTACTGTAAAGTGGTGGCGGAACAAACAGAGATGATCTTTTCTCCTGGGACTAAAGAGCAAAAGGGAAAAGTACTGGATACACACACAAAGAAAACCTTAAATCTACACTGTAAATAATATTATAGCAGTTCGTAGTTGACTTTTTGACATTTAACTTGTGGTATCTCTTTACCAGACACGTGTGCCACTCCAGATCTCAAATGTCTGTTTTGGGATTGCTTGATGTTTTTTTCTACTCAGAACACCAACACTTGAGTTAAAACATTTGTAATTTATGTTTGAGAAATCCTTGAATCTGACACAGTAGCCATTCTAGGTACCTTAATTTTGTCATTGAAAATGCTGTACTTGGAAATGTAAACAGCATGATGCATCTCTGATCCAATAAAAATGATTTGTGCTTACATTTCCAAAAAAAACCCAGAACAACATAAACTATAAAATTAGCAGATAAATACAAAAGAAACAACTTACTTCCTGGAATAATTTCCTCTTCAGCGATTGGTTGATTTTCTAGTTTACCTTGCAGTGCATCGGACTATGATAAAGAAAGCAAAGTCAATAACATAAACTTTAACTTTAATGACCTACATGGTGTGTATTTTATACCTCATGACAAGGGGATTCGGAGATACTTCCAAAGCTGGAGCGACTCATCTGAGCCAATGATGTCCCATAACGCAGTGCTTCATACACAGGGTCAACAATGACATTCTCTGTCTCTGTATAAAAACACAATATTACGATGAGACACTGCAATTGTTTGTTGGTGTGACAAATCATCCAGAGGTTTCATCCCTCACCCTGGGCAGCCGGAGCCTCCTTGACTATACTCAGTGGATCAATGGTTAGCAGAGGAGAGCTGAAGTTTCTCTTAAAGGCTCCAGACTGAAATATTAGAAGACCAGAAGAGATGTGAAGTGAGCGTGTTACTTAGAATAGACAGAAGACAAGAATGGGTTCTGCATGGGAAACACGAAACCTTAGCCTCAAGACTTAATGCTGAAACGCAGGGCACTTTCACGAACAATAGCAGTCCAACGTCATGCTGCCTTAACTTTCATAACCAGTGTTTGATGAAAACAATGGACTGAACATACCACACGATACCCCCAACAAATGTCTTAATCTAAGAATTAGACAATGTGACACTTCTAATGTTTGTACTCAAATATTCACTGTGCTTTCTCAAACCTTTTTCCTCCCGCTCAAAACTTGTCTGTTTGGATAAAATCTCTGTTTGCAAATCTCTGTTCACGCTTGGAACGAAAAAGCACAGTCACCTGGCAACTTGTCAGCCAGTAGAATGAAAGTGTTACACTGGCTGCGTTTGTTTCCTTCTCATGTGTGTGCCTGTGTGGCTACTATCGGCTACTACAGAGGTGCTCAAGTTCAGTCCTTAGAGAGGACATCCTGCAACTTTTAGATGCTTTCCTGCTCCAACACACATGAATCAAATGAATGGGTCGTTAGCAGGTCAGTTCAGAGCTGATCCTGGTGTGTTGGAGTAAGGATGCATCTAAACGTTTCAGGATGGTAGCTCTCGAGGACTGGACTTGAGCACCCTTGGGCTACTATCTATTGTAGCAACATTCGTCCTACAGTGGGCGGCGTACCTTAATACTTGGGTTTAATTTTTTTAAAATAAAATCCAAGCATGGCCGTTGTGAAAACATATTACATCCTGCAATGTCAACAAAAGACCATGAGCTTAGTAAATTACATATTATAGCACATGCGTTGCATTTGAGTACATTTGTAAAAAGCACACACTTGCTCCCAACTACCTCTGTTTTACCAGGAGAAAAGCAAATAATTGCTGTTGACATTTCTCCATCTGAGACTTCAGACAGGCTGAAGGTGGAACATACTCAAACTGAATCAGAAGATTCTAAGTAT